ACACATCTATTGTCTGCCACATACAATGCTGTTTTAACACCATATTTATTCCCAGATATATTTATTATACATTCACCATATTTATTCCCAGATAATTTTTTGTACAAGTCATTCTGAATTGAGAAAGCTGGTCGGATGTCCAGTGAAACGTCTTCAAGAAAAATACAGAAGTCCAGTTGCCTTGACTTATTTTTTTACAGATATACCATGACCTGGATGAATGAGAGCCTTAACAGACATATGTTCATTTGTTTTTCTGTGGTTTTTGTGGTGGTGCTAGTGATACAAATCTGATGAGATAGACAAAGAAGGTTCCCTGTGTGTGACTTCCAGTTTTTGCTTTGAAATCCTGTGCTAGATACCAGTGTGAGAGTGGCTTTTCACCACCACGCTGAAGGAATCATATCCCTGGCATACCTGTATTAGGGGGTTTCTCCAATACACGGAAGAAGTGCAGTGAATTTGTGCCTCATGAGGTGAGGTGCAAGACAAAGGGTTCTGGGAACTTTTTGTATGGACAGGGATCTGATTAGAGCCCCATCTGAATTTACACAATGGGTAATGAGTTGCTAGGGGTACTTGAGAGGAGCTCTGACAACTCCTAGAGAGGAGTTGAAGACCCACTATGGGAAGTGGATGGCCCACTATAGGAAGTGGGTAGGAAGTACCTAAAGAAGTGGCACAGGTAGGCATAGACTGGTTAGTCCCAATACATGGAACCTATTATGTAAGGGTATGAATAGGAAAAACAAAGGGACATGTGTTTTTTTTTGAGGTGCCTGAATGATAAGAACAAATCCATATTAATGTTATATAAAAAAAAAATCTTCTTTATTATTATAATATCGTTGATAAAATCATGTAAAATTGTAAATGAATAGCTTCCTTTTACAGATTTTATTAATGCCTGCAAAATACCACTCCAAAATATAGATAAAATATATTAACAAACACACATTACATTGAATATTACTAATGTTTTTTATATTCAATTGTATTGTCAGAGCCTCTATGAGGGCTCATCTACAGGTGAAACTCGAATAATTCGAATATCGTGCAAAGTTCATTTATTTCACTAATGCAACTTAAAAGGTGAAACTAATATATGAGATAGACTCATTACATGCAAAGCAAGATAATTCAAGCCGTGATTTGTCATAATTGTGATGATTATGGCTTACAGCTCATGAAAACCCCAAGAACCTCAAATCCACAACCTCAAAAAAGTAGATTATTACATGCAATCAATAAAACAAGGATTGTACATAGAACAATATCGGACCTCTGAAAAGTACAAGCATGCATATGTACTCAGTACTTGGTTTGGGCCCCTTTTGCAGCACTTACTGCAATTACTTTTGCACGATATTCTAATTATTCGAGTTTCACCTGTACATTACAATCTATGGGGGGGTTGTAATGGAGGCAGATAGGAAGAGTTTTATTACACACTATATATACATATACTCATCTTTTGTCCCCTCGATTTTAGGAGAATATCCATTTAGGGAATCCTGTCACTCACTTCCTTCTCACCTTGTGATGTGGTCTCATTCTGTGTGGGGGGACCTGCTTGAGCCTGGTCTTTTCTGCATCTCTTTGGCTGTGTGCACATGAACTGCTTCCAGTTCTAGTATGTGTTGCTGCAATTATTGTATATACATGTTTCAAATTATTTAATGGATATTTTCTATGTTTGGATGTTTATTTATTCTTCATCTATGATTGCCTAGATTTCCTCCAGCAATCAGAAAATTCCTGATGAAGCGCCTACAGCGCAAAACGCATTGAATACTGAATGCTAACTACTCCAAATATATAAAGGAAAAGAAGAACTATATACCAAATTTCTGAAAGAACACATGTATTGGAGGGGGCGTGGCCTAGATATGGCAGAGTGAAGACGTGCCTTGCTGGAGCTCTGCACAGCCTTTCTCCCTAAACACGATTCAGTGGACTATACTTGCCCTCTCCCTGTATGTCACATACAAAGAGTTCCTGGAGCTTTCCCCCACACCGCGATATCCTGCACTACTTCGGCCAGCAACCATCGGCCCTGCGGCCCGCCCGACATTTCAACATGGCGCCCGGCCGTCTCACCGCAGTGAGTAACACGCCAAACAAACAGCCAAACACACCTCGGGTTCTGACCCTGTTCCATCACGGGCGGATCGAGAGACATCATTCTA